GGGACGTGCACGCCACCACCTTCCCACATTGGGGGGCCGGGGGTCAGTCCCTCCCCCACGCTGGGGTGCTGGCCCCCCTCAGGCAGGGCCCCGCAGGCTGCAGACATGAAGCCACGAAGACCGTGTTCTGCCCTGGAGAGCCACGCCTCTCTGCACACCTACCCCAGCCATATAGTAGGTGTTTAACAAATGTTTGCAGGCTGGACGAACGCAGCGGACATCCCAGCCAGGGTGGGGGTGGCGGTGGCCCCCATTCTACGGCAGAACATCAGAGAAGAGTCCGGCGGCAGGACCCAAGCCTTCCCAGGTGGCTCCCCTGTGCCGGGGACAGAGACAAAGGAGCTCGAGGTTCCAAAGCAGGGAGAGGAGGTCTTCCCGGAGGACCCTGGGGTCCAGCACAGGAAGCAGGGGATGCCACGGGGCTAGCAGAGAGGTGTCCCGGCAGCCGGCGTGCCAGAGCGGGCCTTTGCTGGATGTGGAAGGGGTTCGCCGCGCAGGGAGGGGAGGACGGAGTGGGAAGAGCGCTCTGGGTGGGAGGTAGCCCCCGAGAAAACAAGACCTCGGGCTTTGTTAGCGGAACACCGCAGCCACAAGGGACTTCAGCTCTGTGAGTCGTGCCCCCTCCGTGCACGGGAAGGACACAGCAGAGGGGTGCACACAGACGCCTCCCCACCATGGGAGCCACGGGCCCTGAGGTCAGCCCGCCGTCCCTGCTGGCGTGGGAAGGGTGTGCAGGGCCGAGGCTGGAAACATGCGGGTCCGCGGGGGCTGGGGGCCCGAGGACAGAGCCTGGACCTTGTTCCAGGAAATGGGGACCCATCGAGGGCTGTCAAGGGGGCCGAGAGTCCTGGGGTGGGAGCCTGCCGGTGTAACTAGGAAACTGAGGGTCTCAGGGAAGCAGGGACCCCAGGGGGCAGGAGGGCCGGGTCACCGCGGCGGGCTGAGGGGGCCTCGGCAGCAGCGAGGGAGGAAGCCGCGAGCGATGACCTCATCCCCCAGGCCTCCGGGCCGCGGCTCACGGGGTTTTTAACCACAGCATCGCGGGACAATTCCCTGGTATGCTCAGCACCAGAAGGCACGGAATACGCCGTGTTTGTGCTGTGCTTTTGGGAGCCCCTCTTTGTGTGGGGCTTGAGCAACACCGAGGGAGAGACGGAACCCAGCCCCTCACCTGGGCCTACCTGTCTCCTGCCACCAGCCCGGAGCCTGTTCTCGGGCCACGGGCACACGGACACAGGCGGGAAGCATGCACATGGCCGCGTGGACGCACCCGCACACATGTGCACATGGCCACACACACAAGCAGACACACCAGGGCACTACGCGCCCCACGCACACACGTGTGCAATGGGCCGTGCACTCACGCCCGCACTGTGGTGGAAGCCCTTTGCCCGGGAAGCTGCAAACAAGGCTCAGGCCCCACGTGGGCCCGCTCATGGAGCCAGACCCGCAGCAGAGAGGAGATGCCTCCCAAAATGGCTTTTGCAGGCGCACCGAATCTGCCGGGTTCAGCAGAACACTTAATCCCTCGGAGGCCACCCCGGGGCTCCCCTGCTAGGGCCAGATAACGGCTCCACAAACACAGAGCATATGAGAGGAAAGGCAGAAATATGGGCTCTTTGGGAAAGCACAGCTCACGGCGACTTCTTTCCACCATTTACACATCAGCCTGCTCTCAGAGCCCCTTGTTCGGAGCCCACGCTCGGCCCCTCCCAGGCTCCCAGCTGCGGTCTGGCTCCCGCTTGCTCTGGGCCCGGGCCGGCGGTGCCCGCATTCCGTGGACAGCAGCGCCACCTGGTGGCCTGCAGCACCACTGTGCCCGCCGGCTCCCACAGCTGCCAACAGGGCCCCTTAAGCCCACTCCCCACACGCGCCGCAGGTGTCCCTCTACCTGGGGTCTGACGCGTCCCCAGGAAGTCCCCCTGACTTCCCCGGGGGCCCTGCGCTTGCCCAGCCCACCCTGGAGGCTGTGAGCTGTGGGAGGGGTGTCTGCCTGTCCCGGCCACCCCCGGGCCCTGCCCACCTCCTCTGCCCCCCTCCCCTCCTTGGAGAAGCCCTCAGCATCTCTACAGACACATCCCACACCAATCCCTTCTCCACCTTGCACTTCCTGCCTGACCCACCACGGGACATAATTCATGTCTGCCCCTGGAGGCTGGGACTGGGGCAGCCGCATTCCCTGCCACTGTATCCCCACCCAGTGCCTGCCACCCCCAAGGCTAGGACTCTCCAGTGGCAGCCGGACCCAGCCAGCTCAAACCCCCCTCGAAGACCCGGCTCCATGCAGCCACTGAGCTGGGAAGTCCTTAGAAACCCAGCAAGGCCACCGGAGGGCGAAGTCAGAGGCTGTCCTGAACACCCTCTCTAATTTACTTGGGGGGGAGGGGGAGCTGAGGCCTTGGGGAGTCCTGTGGGGGCAGCTCTGGGCAGGGGGCTCAAAGGCGGGGAGTCCAAATCCTGGAGATATCATGCTGGGCATGTGGGGTCATTGCAATTGCTGGGTGCCTGCCCTCGGGGAGTGTACAACGATGGAAAGCTATAAACCCACCCACAGAGCCCCCCACCCATTCCACCGCATGCCCAGACTGTCCTGGGACAGAGGAGTGGGGAACCCCCAGATGGCAGGTTCAGAAGCAGTGACAGCCAAGCTGAGACTTGGAACTAGATGAGAAGTCAGTCATGTGACACACCCAAAAAATAGCAGGCCAAGAGCAGAGCACGTGCAAAGGCCCTGAGGCAGCGGGAAGTGTCCAAGGGTCAGCAAACAGTGCGCTGGGGTGGAGGGAGGGGAGGACAAAGTTATGGGGACAGGGGTGCCTGAACGTGCAGCATTTGGGAGGCCCAGAGGAAGAAGCCAAGCTTATTACAACGGGGAGCTGGGGAATGGTCAGATTTGTTTCAGAAAGTACTGCCCACCCCAACCAAAGAAGGCTGCCATGTGGAGAGGGCCCCTGGAGGGACAGGAGGGTGGGGGACAAGGGAGGCTGCAGGGGGTCTCGGTCCTCCAAGGGGTGAAAGGAAGGTGAGACACAGCAGAAGTGGGCTGGCACACCCATCCTGGGTCCCAGAGGAAGGGGTAGGGGACCTGACCCGCATGCCTCTCCCCTCCCCAGCCCAAGCTGAGCCCCCATTCTCAGTTTGGGGAACTGTGCCTGTAGTTCAGATAACGGCCACCAGGTGGCATGCGGGCCTCAGAAATGCTGTGACCACAGGCTCGGCAGGACATCCTGGAGCGATGGAGGCAGGAAGGGGGTGGTCAGGATGGGGGGCGCAGCTGGGATGCTGGGTGGCGGGCGGGAAGGACCGTCCCCTCCCTGGGAGGCAGGTACAGGCTGGAGAGAAGCATCACCTGCCGCTCAGTGGCAGAGGAGACAGACCCCCTCCCCGGCCAGCACCAGGGCAGGGTTTGGGGACAGCTGTCTCTAGGATCTAGGATGGTGGCGGCTGACTCACTGACCGAGGCAGGAGCGGCCAGCCTTCTCCAGGACGCTGCAGCCCCCTGGGCCTCAGCGCAGGCCAGGCCGGCACCCGTGGCAGCTTCCGTGGGTCCCGAGGACCTGGAGGAGGAGGAGGAGAGCCGTTGCCCAAAGGCTCACCATCCTGCTTCTCGACAGGAAGCCTGTCCCCCCCGCTTTTGTAGAAAAAAGCACAATCTAGTAGGAGCACAGAAATGGTACCGTGGGACAGCGAGTGGACCCACAGCCGGACACCTGCCATCACCACCATCTCCACAGACACAAGGAACAGCTGACAAAGTCAACACCTTCACATCGGACCCAAAGGGCACCCCCAACCAGGAGCACACGCACACCCCGCCAGGCTGGGGCCACAGCCCAGGGAGCCCGCCTGCCCCGTGAAGCCCGGCCTGCCCGGGAGCCGCCGCACCCACCACACTACCCCGCACTGAGCCCACATCCAGAAAACTCTGCGGGACCAGAGGACCGACACCCCCAGCAACGGCCAAATGTAGTCAAACCACAGGCCATACAGAGGACAAGCGTCAGCAACCATCAGTGGCTTTCGAGTACCTGGGGGAGGGGGGAGACGGAGGAGGGAGAGAGAGGGAGGGGGAGGGGGAGGGGGAGACGGAGGAGAGACTGGGGAAGAGAGAGGAGAGCGAGTGAGCAGGGGGAAAAGGGGAGGGGGGAGACAGAGAGAGGGAGGGGGCGAAGGGGGGAGGGAGGGAGGAACCTCCAGAAAATACAATGGAAGGGCAAGTCCCGTCTGTGGCGGCTGCCGGCAGGAAGGACCACCGTCATCAGCAATAACCCTCACATCACGAAACCCTAAGGCCCCCCTGGCAAACAGACACCGTGGTCGTGGACGGGAAGACCTCACCCCAGACAGACGTCACGTGCCCAGAGGCATCCATCGGACGCCATCAAGTTTGTCCTGCAAGCTAGGCGGGCGGGGGATGCTGGTGGTTGCCGGGAGGAGCAAACAAGCAAGGGCAGTCAGGCCATCGAGGCAGACCTGCCCCGGCCTGGAGAGTCTCCGGGCAGATCCGTGTGCATCTGAACGTCTGGTTTACCACGACAACGGCACCTCGGGTCAGGGTGGACAGACACAGGTCAGTGGAAGGGGCCAACCAGGAGGCCCAGGCATTCTGGGCAGAGGCCGGGGGCCAGATGGGACAGACCAGGTCAGCAGTCACCCAGACCCAGGGCCACAGCGCAGGTTTGGCAAGCTCTGCCCACAGCTCCTCCTGTCCTCCTTTCCCAGCTCAGCTCAGAAACCCCCTCCTCCAGGAAGCCTACCCAGACCACCAGTCCTAGGCTCCTCTCATCCCAGCCTCATGTCACATCCTGGCAAATGTAGGAGTCAGGGTGGGGGTCCCCACACCTCCAGTCTCCCATTGCCCACAGTGGCCGGTCAGTAGAGGGCACACCGGGACAGGGTCATCGTGTAGGCCGGGAGCAGCTCACTGCACCCCATGGCCCACTCGCCCAGGGGAGGCCAGAGCCCCAGCGGCCGGGACAGCCCCTCAAACTGCTACGTACCATCCAGAAGAGGGTCCCTGTGGCCAGGGCGACGTACTGCTCGATGGTGGACAGCACACTGAAGATGAGGCAGACCAGGACGATGAGGAAGCTGCAGGGCAGGAGGACACGGTGGTCAGCTCCGGCGACGCAGGCCCAGGCCTGGCGGCCAGAGGGGCTCCCCGCCACCCCCCACCCCTGCGCCGGGGGACCAGTTCTCAGTCTGAGAACTCGGAGAGCCACCAGAGCCCAGAACCTGAGGCGCAGGTGCACAGAGCGGGGCGCTGCCAGCCAGCCGTGGAGGCTGAGTTCTGACCCCCCGTGACCGTGGGACAGACCTTAAAGCCTGGCGCCAAGAAGCCACACTTACAGGCCACGTGTGGTGCGGTTCCCTTAATGGGAAGCCTCAGAGACAGAACAGGAAGAAGACTGGTGGTCACCAGGGGCCAGAGGCACAGAGAATGCCCCCACATCCCTGGATGTCACAGGGCTTGCCTGGGAGAGGGGCAAGTCTGGGGGTCACCCAGGGGGCTCCAGGGGCTCCAAGTGTCCTCTCGGCGGGTCCTCAAAGACTGGACAGCAGGGAACACAGCGTGGTCGGGGACACAGACCCCCAGCCCTCTCCCCACCCCAAGATCCTGCTGCTCCCGGGGACTTTCAGTCCACCCCCACCCCCACCCTGTGCTCACCAAGAAGCCCCCTGCATCTCCCCCTACCACCTCAGCCCCTTTCCACCCCCCCCGCCCCAATTTCTCAGGCCACACCCTGCCCTCTAGCAGCTCTGGCCAAAACCTGCCACCAGCGCCTCCCTCCCCACACAAGCTGATCAGCTCCCCCTGCAAAGCCAGATCCCAGCCGACCCCTCTCTGCAGCCTGCCCATAAGCCTCCACCCTGGGCCCCCACAGCGGTGGGCTCACACCAGCAGTCAAGTGAGCCTGACTCCCTGCATGGGAGTCCCCCATGACACCCATCCCCCAGGGGACACCACAGCGAGCCCAGACTACTCAGCTTCTCCCGCCCCTCTTCTGAGCATGCTCGGCCCTGCCTGCCTCAGGACCTTTGCACCTGCTGCTGTCCCTGCCACCCCAACCCTCCTGGGCACTCCTGAGACTGCATTAAGCCTCCTGGTCTTTGTGCATGTAGTGCCTCCTTCCAGGGACCGTGCACAGCCACACTCTGTACCGCCTCAGCTCTGTGGACCCTCTTACTCGCTCGGAAGGATCTCCAGTCCCGCCAGGCCTCCACCAAGGGGAACAGGACCCCAGCCCACAGTAAAGCAGTTTAACAGATATGGCCCAGCCTCCCTGCCAGACCCCACAGCGAGCCCTTTGTGGGGGTGAATGAGACGGGGTTTCAATCTCACCAGGACACAGGTAAACGCTGATGGAGAGAGTCAGCACCCGTCTGTGGCCGGATCACTCCTTGGGCACAGAGCTCACCTTCCATGGACTCTAAGGACAAAGGGCCTTGTGTGCGCCATGCCACATGGTCCTGAGCCACACCCTAGAGTCCCTCTCGAGTCCCGCTTACTCATCCTGCTCCCCCTGGGCTTGCTGCCCCACTCAGCCAAGAGGAACCAGAGCAGGTGCAATCACCCAGGCCAGGAGGCGCCCACCCAGCCCCCCTCCCGGATCTCTGGGTGCAGACGGAGCCAAGGAAGCACCTACACAGAGGAGACATGGTACCCGCCCACAGCCCCTACAAGGCCACGTGGCCCGGGCAGAGCCATCTGACTCAGTTTGCCCATCGACACAAGACAGAGCCCTGGGCCACTCGCTCACAGGGCCACGGGAGGTAGAGCAGCTGGAGGTCCGAGCAGGGACCCAGGCACCGGGCCTGGGACGAGCACCAAGCGCTCATGCCCTCTCCTCCCGAGCCTCTTCGCGACATCGGTGAGGGCACTGAGGGCCCCCCAAGAAGCCAGGGTGACCCCATCTCAAGGTCCTCACTGAGCCACACCTGTGAAGCCACAGAAGGTCCCACACGCACGGGAGCCGGGGCAGGACGCAGACCTCTCTGGGGGCCGTTCTCCAGCTGACCCGCGGGCAACAGAACCGGCCGCACCTGAGTCACACGCCCACACCCCGCGCTTTTATGTCCCGTGGGCAAGAACCGTGAGGCCCAGGTCTGCGGGTGCCACTGCTCAGGGCTTCCCGCATGCCCGCCTCCCGGCTCTGCCACCAGGACAGGCCCGGGAAGCTCCGAGGTCTGGACTGCTTCCTGCCTCCTGACGCGGGGGTCACCTAAAAGGGGATCCGCGGAGGCACCTCTGCCTGCTCGGGGTGTCGTGATGGGCCCCTGCTCCTGCCAGGCTGCGCCTCAGCCAGCCTTCCTGTCCCTTCCAGCACCACAGACACCCCGCAGCAGCGCGTTACTGCCGGCAGGCTGCCCACCACCGACCGTCCCGTCAGTACAAGCTCAGCCACAAGGCAGGTAGCTCGCCAGGAGCGCGTCAGGCAGGAGCACCGAGGCCCCGCAGGAGGGCGCCACGTACCCCAGCACCGGGATGTCGCGGCTGGGGAGCTGGCTGTCCAGGGGCCCCTCTGCCCACCGCCCAGGGCCTGCCTGTGCTCAAGAAGCATGGGGAGCCCAGAGGCGGGGGCACCGTCGGGAGGGGAGCAGCCCCTCCTGTGCTCAGGCCCCAGCTGGCCCCCTGAGGGGATGTCAGGATGGGTGTCCTCACCCCAAGCCCCCAGTCAGAGGTTCCAGGGAGACCCCTGCACAGACGGAGGCTCCGGGCCCTTGGGGTGGGGGGGTGGGAGCCAGTGGGGGCTGGGTGGGGGGGGTTGGGAAACAGCAGGGGCCCGGGGGGGTGAGGTGGGAGCCAGCAGGGGCGGGACGGGGTGGGAGCCAGCAGGGGCCGGGGGCCTGCCCGGGGAGCCCCTCCTGGGGCCGCTGCAGAGTGTTTTCCTGGGAGGGTCGGGGGACTGTTGGTGCACAGCCACGCATGGTGCTTCCCCAGCCTGGCTGTGTCGCGAAGCCTCCAGAGTTCATCAAGTATTTTAACATGTGCTGCTAGTTTCAGAAAGAATCATTCAACAATGGGGTGCCCGGGTGGCTCAGTCGTTAAGCGTCTGCCTTCAGCTCAGGTCGTGATCCCAGGGTCCTGGGATCGAGTCCCGCATTGGGCTCCCTGCTCCACGGGAAGCCTGCTTCTCCCCCGTCTCTTCCCCCTGCTTGTGTTCGGTCTCTCACTTACTCTCTCAAATAAATAAAATCTTAAAAAAAAACCAAAAAAACAAATCATTCCACAAAGCGTGCATCTATTTACTCCACCCTGTCCTGGGTGGGGCTCGGGGCCTCTGAGATGCTGAGATAGGGGCCCTATCCTCAAGGGGCTCACAGCACGGGGTGCCTGATGCCCCTGTCGGGCCTCTGCAGGGCTGAGACCGCCCCTCCGACCCAGCCTTCGGCCACAGACCCCAAGAGCTGGCAGACTGCGGCTCAGGAAGAGGAGGGACCTGACCCATTTTCTGGGTCAAGGCGCAGGAGCCGGGCTGGGGGGGGGTCAAAGGACACCAACCCCCCAGAGGCCATGCTGGCCCCCAGCATGGTGGCAGCTCCATGCCCCGAGGGACAATGCCCTGCTTGTGCTGCTGGCCAGGGGTTGGGGCCGCGAGCGCCAGCCCGGAGGGACGTCCTGAATGTTATCGGTCATCACGGTAGTACCCGCGGCGGCCAGGGCACCTGGGAACAGGAAAGAATGCAGGAGGCACACCAGGGCCCTGGTCCAAGACAGCAGGGGGGCCCTCCGGGGCGCGGGGACTGCAGCCCTCCCCTGGTGCCCGGACCCCTCGGGAAGCATTGTGGACCCCTGGTGAGGTTTCTCCCGCCTGCCGGGAGGCACCTTTCCACCCCAGATATTTCCCAGGGAAGTTTGGGATTCTTTATGCGAACCCCACACGCAGCGCACACAGAAAGTGCGGGCTGCTCGCGGTGCCCTCGGGGCCCCCAACACCAAAGAACGTGGCCCTCAGGTTACCCCGGGGTTTAAGTTGAAATTCCAGGATGCTGGGAGGCCACGGAGGATGTGAACAGTGCTGGATCGGGAGGCTTAATTTACTGAGCGTATAAGTGAGTGCCTGAGTCCTTTGGGCCCAGGAAAGGTTATGTGTAAAGGGAAGAGCCTCAGACGCTGACAGAACCAGACGCAGAAGGACAAATCCTGTGCGATCCACTCCCACGGGGTCCCTGGAGTTCCCCAGATTCACGGGGACAGAGAGTGGATGGTGGGCGCCGGGGCTGGGGGAGGGAGGGGGGTCGGTGTCTCATGAGGATGGAGTTTCCATTTGGGAAGATGGAAAGTTCTGGAGGCAGATGGTGGGGACGGCTGCACAAAAGTGTGAATGTGCACTTGACGTGGCTAAGATGATAAATTTTATGCATATTTTACCACAGTTTAAAAATTTTTCAGAAGTAAAGGTGTTTGTAGGCAGCGGTGGGCAGCTGCCCGAGGTCCAGGCAGGCTGTAGGAGGGCAGAGCGGGGTTCAGAGGCCCGCCCACCTGGGACAGGACCTTCACAGGCGCAGAAACAAAGGGCTGTCACAGCGACCTCAAGCCCAAGGTCGGACGGGGTTTGGAGCGTGGGATTCAACAGATTCGGTACTGACGTCCAAACCATATCGGAGGGGCTTCTCTCTGTACAAAAGTCGCCCTGGAAGGAAGGTTCCAAAGACCCCCCCCCAACAAGTGAAGGGCAGGTGTGCCTACCCTGCCCCAGGGCTGAGACACCCCCGTGACACTGGACTCCCCCAGGGGGTGGCCTCAGGTCCTGCAGAGCTGTCCCCAGGGTGGGGGGCAACCCTGCCCAGCAGGGAGGCCGAGGTCCTCTTGCTGGCCCAGCCTGTGCCCAGCGCTGCTTCCTGTAAGGCCTGTGCAGCAGGGATCCCAGCACCCCACGTGAGGTGGGGCCGCCGGGGGCGAGGTGCTGTGGGTTCTCCAGGGCTTCCGGGCCATGCAGCTGGCCCTCCATCCCGGGCGGCCCTGGAGTGTGGAGCAAGGTCACAGCCACTGATTGGGACACCGAGGCTCTGAACCAGCCAGAGTTATGTCCAGGCCACAGGCACCGTGAGCCCCAGCTGCCGGCCCCAGGATCCCCCGCAGGCCCAGC